TTATTTATATAGCGGTTTCCAGTATAGCGGTTAGGTTCAATATAATCGCCCTTAATATAGTAATTATTTATATAGCAGTCCTTAATACAGTAGTTAATTATGGTATAGTAGCTAGTCTTTACTACCCTAGATACCCGGTGGCAGTCGCTAATCAGGAGACTATAGTTAATTAGAAAATTGTAATGAAGGTTCTTTTTCCAATAAATTTAGGGAATTGATTATTAACGACCCTAATTGATACCTACTCGAAGAGAGGTTTCTAAATACTTTTACACCCCTAGCCGCGCTAGTTTAATATCTTTGAAGGAATTAGGTATACCTTCCCGCATAGAATACGATATTTTTAATACCGATATTGACGAGTCCGAAGTAAATATTATATAGTTAATTCCCCGGGAAATAACTAAGGAGGTTATTAGTAAAATTAATTAATAAATACGTTAGTATATATTCGTTTACTATTCGAATCGGTTTACTAACTAGGTTATTAAGTAAATTATACCTGGTATTAATACCCGTATATTCAAACTTCGCCGCCTTCGTATTCACGCTAAAAGTATTTACAAATCTCAAAAGAATAAATTCTTATAGGATAAACTCTATACCTACTTTCTTACTATATTTAAAGACTACCCCCAACTTTTAGAATTTAATTACAATAATACTAATAATTAAGAAACCTTCGAATAATTAATTAAGCTATAGATTAATATATATTTCTTCTAGGAAGTTCTTACTTATATTGCGCTTTATATTAATTATGAAGCTACCTTCAGAAATAAGGAAGATCTGCCTTTTTTCTTCCTTAAAAGCATTGTAATCGATTTCGGTATTATAGCTTATAGGGTAATTAAATCCGAAACGGAGTTGAATTGCAATCGTCGTCCTAGTTTAGCTAAAAAAAAAGACGAAAATACTAGGGCCGAGTACCGGGATATATTCGATAGTTTTATATTTTATTAATTATTTATTAAAGTAGATAGAAAAGTAATCAACGAAATCCCTTTCGAATTCATTATTCTATAGATTATTTGTAATAATGTAGATTTGGAGAACTTCGAACGCTCTATTACCTGGAATCCTCCCCCCCGCCGGCGTAATAGGATAGTCCCTACTTAGGATCTATAGCGGCCGATGCTATTATATATTCTTAAGGGTAGCTAGCCTAGTAGTAGTTAGGCTAGTAGTTAAGGAAGTGGTGGTCGTTATAGTAATAATAATTATTATAATAGTAATAATTGTTCTAGCAGCGGCTAAGGTAACAGTCCTCGTTGTATTTCCGGTCCTAGTTCTATAACCGATAGTCCTTACGATCGGGGTAGTCCGTACGAGCGCCCTTATAATGAGTACTATAATAAACGCTGCGGAGATACTAGTAGAAGCCGGAACTATTTATGTTTTATACCTATAGAGGGCGATTTTTCTAACCAACGCTAAAATATTATACTATAACGTTAAATCCTAATTAATTGTAGTTGTAACGACGATAATAATATTCTTTTTACCCTAACTATGTAATTATAGCGCCTTATTGGTATAGGGTCCTTCTCCAGTTCTCTAGAGGAGAAAACCGTACGGCGTTAAGCGCCGCCGGATAAAAACCTTTAGCTTTATTTCGGTCGTAATTTACCTACGCCGCTCCTACTTTATTTATAATTATAACGGTTCTTACCTACTACTATAGCGAATTAATTTCGTTTCTTCCTCCGCTATATTATTCTAATATTAGAATAATAAGAATAATAGGAATATAGTTAGGGACGTCGCCTTCCTTCGCCGCCTCTCCGTTTTGATTTTTATTACCCTTTCTTCTACCTTCTTCCTATTTCTCCGTTTTATTTTCCTATCTATATCCCTACCCCTCTACTTCGTTACTCCCATTTATATTTACCTCCGCCCCGTCCCTTTACTTTTTAACCTTCGGTTTTACCCCTATTTATAGTAGTATAAAGGCCCTCCTTCTATTTATATAACCCTTTCTATAATATTTCTTCCTAATTCCCTTCTACTTTCTTTCCTCTTTATAATAGTATTATTTAAAATAGCTTCCTCCGGTTGTAATTGTCCTAGCCCGATCGACTTTATTTCTAACCCTAAAGTCTCTTCCTCCGAAGCGTTTCCAAGCTTTATAATTTGTCCTAACTCTATAGCCCTAATTTATTTAGAACCTATAATATTATTTTATATCCTTCGTAGTAATTCGGATTTTATAGCCCCTTTGAACTAACATAACCGTCCCTCCTATTATTTCTAATCTTTATATTAACCCGTTTAATATTATTTATAAAATTTTTTACTTTTATTATACTTTAGATTTTATTATAGGCCCGAAAATTAATTAGAAGCCCGGTATTCCTAACAATTTCTATAAGATTATTACCCGTAAAATTTCTATTGTTTTGTCTTTTAGTAGGTTTAGTATTCTCCCTTCCTCCTTATTCTCCTTCCTTAATTAATTTCTATTTCTAACTACCGACTCCGAGAATACAATTCATATTTTCATTACTAATAAATATATATTAGATATTCCCGCTAGCCTTTGTAACATTTATAATATTATTTAATTAGTAATAATTATTATAATATTAAATAGCCCGGCCGAATATTATTAGAGATTGGATACTTTTGTTTATATTATTAATTATTTTACCGAATATATATATAAATTTTTAATATCTAATAATCTCCCTAATACCTTCGGTATTCTTCCCTACGCCCTATACTATAATACTATTACTTTTTAGTAGAAGGGCTACTATAAATTATTATAAGAAACGCTCTCTATGATTATACTCTTTTTAGTTTTAGTAGTAATACAATAAACCCAGTCTATATTATTTCTAATTCTAGTAGTAGCGCGATTATAATTATATATATTATATTTAATAGTAGTAGTACTATTACTTTTACCCGTACGGTCTCCAATTTTAGTAATAGTAGTACTACCTTTAGTAGCCCTATAGCCTTTAATACCCTTAGCCGCCCTATTATAAATAAAGATTGGGTTTAATAGTATTATAAAGTTATAGCGAATTAGGTTCGTATAATAATATTATTCGAAGAGCTTCTTAAATATAATTAAGCGTTAATTAAGCGAATGTCTTTTCGGACCGTCGGAAAAGTCTTTATATACCGTCGGCTCAAATTGAAATAAATATAACTTAACTAAAATAAAAGGTAAAATAATAATAGGAGTAACAGGATTTTATATATTTTCTGCTTAATATTACTAGCCCTATTCTATACTGGTTATTTTACAAACCCTAAAGATCAATAAAGATTTAGTTTTAAGATATTATCAATCTTATACTTAAGATCACTTGGGATTCAAGCGTTGGAGAGCGTGTATAGCTTGGATACTAATACTACTTTGAAGGGGAAAAAATAATAAAAATTCTACTATATTTTATGAGATTTAATACCTTGTCTTTATGGAGTTACTTAGAAAAGCAGTTTGCCCGACGGTATATAAAGACTTTTCCGACGGTCTGAAAAGACATTCTCTTAATTAAATAGTACTCCAATTTTTACTATAATTATAGCTTAAATAATACTTATAATTAATATCATTGTTTCTTCTCCATCCTTCGTCCTTTTATTCTAGTATTATTAATGATGCGTTGTCGTTTTGGGAATACTTCGCAATTTCCTTACACTACTCCTCTTCTAATTTAATTGCTAAATAATATTGCTTTAACCTTCCTAACTTTAATACTTAGAATGGAATCCTTTTAATTTTAATCCTATTAATTAGGTAATCCTAGAACTCTTCTTTCGTTAATAGCCAAATCTCGGTATTTAATTAAAAAAAGCCTTCTATATTAAGGTAATTTAAAATAATATAACCTAAGGTTTCTTTTTCTAATTTATAGGCGTAAATATGTATTTAGATACTTAATACCTTTCTCCGGAAGAGAAAGGCCCGGAGTCCTATAATTTCCGTTCTAATTTGGATTAGGAGGGAGCTCTTTATTTTAATTAGTAAGTATAATTTATTATTATTTTCCAGCAATATTCGAATTCTCCTCTTTTTCTTTACCCTCTTCGTACTAACTATATATTATTAAATAGTTTTACTAATAAATTTAGGAGTAAGGTTAGTAATAGTAAATTTATATTATCGATTTAATTTAATTACTACTATTACTATTTAATAATTATAGTATAATACCTATTCTCTATTTATTATATCCTCTAGATACTCCTCTTTATTAATAATTCTAGGTTCCGGGATTTATTATAGTAATAGTAGGGACCCTAATTCCGGGGGGGGGGAGGGGGGGGCCGGCCGCAATTATTAATAGTTTTTCTATTAGTATTTACGCCTTAGTTTACTTAATTTTAGCTATACTATTCTCTAGTTTATTAGCAGGTAGCCGGCCTCTAATTTATTATATCCGAATATAGTTAATTATTTAAACTATTATTCTTTAAACGAACTTTACTTAATCCGTACGAGCGAACCTTTCTACGAAGGCCCAGACTCTTTTATTTAAATAGAAGCTAAATAGTAAATAAAAGGTTTCTATTTTTAATTTTCATATTAGTATAACTTCATATGCCCCGGCGATTATTTTTAAATATTTAATTTAGTATTTCACTAACCCGATTACAATCCCTTATAATTTCCTATAGACTTTAATTAGTTAGTAGAATATTAAGGCTTCATATAGAATAGTACTACGAATATATTTAGTATATATTTCTTTTATTTAAATAAAGGAGTAACCCTAGGTTTTTATTATTAACCTTATAAATATATTCGTTTAAATCTTTATCTTTTATTTCATTACTTTTATATAAACTAAATAATTAAATTTATAGCTTAGTTTAACCCTTAGAAATTTTATCGATTTTATTAATCAAAGTACTATATCACCTAATTAGAGAGTTTCCGTCCTTAGTACCTTTATCCGTATAAAATATATTAGTTCCGTTTTATTAGCTTCGAATTGTATACTTCTTACCCTAATTTATTCCGAATATATTTCCTATACTATTTATAAAGTCCAATAATTTTCTTCGGTAATATAAATTATTATAATAATATTAATATTGTCCGCTAAATTAATTATAATTATATTTAGGATTATTACTAATTTCCGGTACAATAAAGTAATAAAGAGAATAAAAAAGATAAGTAAGAGGACGGAGCCTTGAGATATATTTATTATAATAGTATAAGGGCGAAATATTTTATTATTAAAGAAGAGAGTACTTCTCTTATTAGTAATAAAATTCGCTATTTATTTAATAATCTATATTAGGAATTATATTTCCTATAAGGTATATAAATATTACTTATAATTAATTCTATTAAACGCGCCCTTTAAATTAAGGAGTATAAGGAATATTACAGCCCCGAATTTCTAGGTTATATAGATTATATTAATAATTATCCGGATTATAAACTTTATTAGTTAACTTCCTTAATTATTTATTTAACCTTCTAATAGGAGATTAAACTCTTTAGCTACTTATATATATCTTTTAATTATAAAGGCCTTAAGGACTTTTTTAACGTTATTAAATAATAATATAGGTCTCTATACACTTACTAATTTTTATTAGGTAGCGCTTTTTCTAGGCTTTTTAAGGATAATTATTTTTACATCCTTAAACTATTACAGGAAATGTCCGAATTGAAGGCTAACGGTTATTAAATATATTATTATTTATTAGAATAATTATCCGTATAATTTTAGCAATTTATTTAAATACTAATTAATACCCAGGGCTTTATTAGGCCCTATCCGGGAAAGGACGTTCTAAACGTCTTTTTTTATAATTAGTTCACTAATAATTATTAAATTAATACTATTTACTAATTTAATTTAGTTCGTTAAATATTCTATTAAAATATTTACCCTTAGGAAAAATTAATTAGTAAGGATTCTAGCCTTACTATTATAGTTTTTAATTTCTATTATTCCTTTATTAGTTCGGAGGGTTAGTAATTTAAATAGGTCTATTAGGCAATAACTTCGAACTTAAACCTATTTTTCTAAAGGTTAGAATCAATTTAGGTTTTTAAAGCTTTAATAATACCTTTATACTATATAGTCTACTATACTTTCGAAATAATCTTTTTCTTTTTTATTATTATTTTAATAAATTCCCTTTAGTTTAATAGTATCTAATATTTAAATTACATTTAATATTTCCGCTACACTTCCTTTATAGCTGTTTTATATTTTAATATCTATTAATTCGCTTTCCTCCTCTAACCTTTCTTTTAATATAGGACGAATTCTTTTATAATACTAGTAAATTCTTTATTAAATTTATAAAAACCTTATTCGAAATCTTTCAATGTATTGATGTTTTCCGGGACTAAAATCCATTTCTCCGCCGCCTCCTTCACCTTTACTATATCTAAAAGATTCTAATTATAATTTCCTTCCTCTTCTACCCTCCTATTTTTTCTTTTTATTTGGATTTAGATTTCTCAAGGGAAATAGTTTAAACCGGTTTATTCGTACCGCTACGCTCCCTAGTATTCAGCTTTAATCCCGGGTAATAGCTATATATAATTAATTATTTTATTTCTTTCTCCTTATATTATATTATTTAATTTTATTAACTTACTATAAGGGGTAAATAGATTAAGCCTCTAATATTATACTTATAAAGAGACGGTATATAGCCCCTAGGCTAATTCTATTCTTTAAATCCTAGTTAGGATAATAAAAATTAAAGTCCCTAATAATAGTAATTTAATTTTCTACTAGGGGCCCGGCCTCGAAGAATTCGAAGAGTAGGGATTCCTATTAATATTTTAATATTCCTTATATTAGGATAAGTAAATAGATAGAATAAACGGTTCTAGGATCCCTTAAATTCTTAATTATTATTATAATCTAATCGCTTCTAACCTAAAAATTAAAGTCCTTTAAATTCTATTTCTTATTTATATATATTATTACCCTTCTTCTCTTTAAATAATCGATTCCGAAATACCTCCCGCCCCTAGGATAATAAATATTCCTATTTAAATTTCTATTCGGTTCTTAAATTGCTATAATAATATAAGTCTCTTTTTATTCGAATAGAAGCTTCCCCTCTTATATAATTTCCCTATATTATAATAGAATATTTTTAATTAGATTATTAATTACCTTACAATAGGGTTCCTATAAGTCCTTTAGCGGAAAATAAGAGTATCGCTTCCCTTAGGGGAATTATAACTATATGAATACTATTTCTACTATATATCCAAGTCCTTACGCTTTAAGAATATAGATAGTATATATTTATTAGGCCTTATTAGGTTAAAGGGTTTAGTTGGGGGGTTGGGCCGACGATTTTTTTCAGCCGCCTTCTTTTTATACGTCCTCTAATTTATTTCTCTAGGGTAGCAATAATATAGGAATTAGGAGGACCATTTAATAAATTACCTTCGTTTATAATTTCTATTACTAACTCTAATACCTTTCCGGCCGGGTTTTTATAAAGGGGGGCGAACGCCCGCGGCCTCTCGGCGTACGTAATAGACGCCTTCACAATAACCTTTCGGGACAGGGGGTACTTTTTATAGCTATAAGTAAAGTATCCTTTCTTCTTATATAATTTATAATTAACGCATAATTTATCCTTATTCAACGGACAATTTATTTTACTAAAGTAATCTCCTTTATATTTAGCTCTACTATATTAGGCGTAAATATTTTTCTAATAATAGAATTTTATCATATATTTAATTCCCTAATATTTAAAGTACTATTAAATATTGTTCGAAGCTTAGAATAGTTCGTAAAAATATACGCCGCTAGCCTAAAGGAAGTGTAACGGGCCTGCCAGAGTATTATATAGCGAGTAGTCGTGTAATGGTTGAAATGCTATATTTAACGAAGGGAGCAAAAGGGAAGACTGCACCAGAAGGGTACAGTCTAGAGAAGGTTTTATACAGGGCGCCAAGACCGCACGGGCCAGGCAAACATGTGAGCAAACATGTGGATCCAACCAACCAGAAGGCTTGCATCCTTATCGATACGGCCGGTCCCGGCTTGGTAGACTTAGTAAAGCCGAATCTTTAATCCTAGGCGCTAGCCCTATAATATTACCCCCCTATTCCCCTCGGCCTACCGTACTAGAAAAGGCTCTACTAAATATACAAAAGACGACCAAAATCCCCTACAACCGTTCCTAGCCAAATACCTAATTTAATAGGTACGAAATATTAATAATACTAAAAAAGAAAAATCTCTCTATCTAAGCCCCCAAACAAACGCTATACAACTACCTGCTCCCTACCCGAGTCGGTATTACTACCTTTACAAAGCTACACCCAGGCCGAAGCACTAAGACTAAATTTAGGGATATTTCTAGACTTTACCCATCCGGGGACTAATTGCTATAATACTTTAATAATCTATAATGGAGACAATTAGAATCAAGGGTATTACCTAATACTTTGTATTGCTCTACTTCTCCTACCAGTAAAAGCCTTATCCTTACCGCTATAAAGACTACTCAATAGTTTTATACTTACAAAATATAATATTTACTACCCTCTATCGGTTGCATATTACAATTGATACTAGCACGCTAGCTATACGTAGAGAGGTATAGTATAAGGGCTTACTACACTACCAACGCTGAGAAATAGACTAGCACTCCCTACGTTGCAGCCTCGTCTCTCCTGACTATTAGAAACTCTTCCTTTTAAATCCCTAATTAGCGCTCTCTCTACTATAGTTTTATTGGGGTCGATTCCTAGTCTTTACTCAATCCGAATTTTCTCTTCCTCTACTATTGCTATTATAGTTACTTAAGCCCCTACTAAGTTATAGCCGGACTATATTTATTTTTGAAATTCGAAGGTACTTCTTAAATTAGTACAATCTATTACCGTAATTGATATATTTACCCTCCTTCTTCTATTTATTGTTTTAATACTAAGATAGTAATAATATAGAGGGCCTTATTACAGAAGTATTAATAGAAGTATTTATAGGATTACTATTGTTTTTAACCGGGTACTTTGATAAGGCGAAGAAATTATTATTATTAAGACGATGAAGGTAGTCTAGCAATTAAGAACACTATTTAGGCACGTTAATTCTTTCTAAGAGCCGTTACTTCCAATCGTTATTTAGGAAAGCCGTTAATTAATTAACTTTAGTAACGTTGGACTAGGAGTCCATACGGGTAAAGTAAAATACTTCTTTAAAGCGAGTAAAGAAGGCTACTATAAATTCTTTAGAGCTAGACTTCTAGTATAGCTAGTAAAGCTCCTAACTAACTCTCTTAATTGTATTAGAGTCCTTATATATAAATTTAAATTTAACGAATAGTTCTAAGGGCGATTGCGGGCCGTAGGCGGCGAAGGCGACGAATAGCTTCTTAATAGCGGGCGATAGGCAGGCGAACAAATAGTAAAACTACGCTTCTAAATTACTAATAGCGGATTTATCTATATAGAGCTTTATTTGCGCGCTTAAAACCCAAATTTCGAATTCTTCTTTATTCCCTAAGAATTTTTCGAACTAGGGAAATACCTACTTCGGTACAATAACAATAGCGGGCCTTAAAATAACTTCGGTTAATAACGTTTAAAAGGCGGCTATAAGTTTCTATAAACGTTCTTAGGGATCCTAAAATCAAGGGATCGTAGGGAAGGCGGTCGGCGTTATTATTATAGATGGGGAGAGAGATTCTTTGGGCGTACCTACGAAAGAACGGCAATGGAGTATTGAAAAAGAGGGTTAAATATGATATAATGGGTCTATTAGAATATTATATAGCGAGTAGTCGTATAATAGTTAAAATACTATATTTAACTAAGAGAGTAAAAGGGAAGACTGTACCAGAAGGGTACAGTCTGGAGAAGGTTTTATACAGGGCGCCAAGAGCGCACAGGCCAGGCAAACATGTGGGCAAACATGTGGATCCAACCAACCAGAAGGCTCGCATCCTTATCGATACGGCCGGTCCCAGCTTGGCAGACTTGGCAAAGCCGAGTCTTTAATCCTGGGCGCTAGCCCTATAATAGGAAGAGGTTGTTTTAGAGGAAATTCGCTGCTTTTAAAGTGGCGATTTTTATTAAGAGTAAGCCTCTATTCTCTCCGTCCTTTTTCTTCTAAGGCCAAACTCTTATAATAATTACCTCCTTATTCTTATTCTTTACTACGTTTATTAATACTTTTAATATAATATAATTATTAATATTATTTTAGGGTATATTCCGGACTAATACACTTACAATATTTATAGTAATAAAGGCCTCATTATTAAAGACCTCTAT